TATGTTATTATGTTAGGTCGCACATTATAGATGAAGCACAAAATGAAAATGCCGAAAGTGTACGATGCCTAATAGATCTATAGTCGACATGTCATATGGTTAAAAAATGATTTATTCATCCACTGCAACTAAATTGCTTAGTCAATATTTAACGGAAACAAAAACAACTAATATATCATCTATAATCAATAGAAAAAAAATATCTATTTCTATTAAAATGCTGAATTGAGTCTTAGTAAATCTTTACTTTTCGAAAATAAATATTTATTTATTAATTCATATTTTTTACATCATTGTACATTCTTTTAAAGCTAATTTATTCTAAAGAATATTTTATTTAAAAGATAAAAATTTTGATGATGATAATATAGACTCATTTGTAATCAAATACAATTTCGAGAAAATTTGATGAAAAATCAAGAATTTCACTTTTTGTTTCTACGACAACGAACTTCAAATTCTAATATATCCTTGAAAACGATAAAAAAAATTACATGAAACTCTGAAGAGAGATAAAATTAAATTATAGACGTTCGACTGAAACATAATATAAACTAATGACTATTGGTTATTCGAGATGAAAGAATTTAAATCTATTTAAGAGTAGGATTTCTATCGCGTATTCAAATGATTTACAATAAATATAAATTTCTCTATTTTGTCAAGAAAGAAGAACTGAGTTTTTTTATCATATTTAATTTAGCTGCAAAATCTTTTACTCATTATATTAATCCATCCGAAATGTTGAAGAAGATTTTGTAAAGATGAAAAATAAGAAGGAAAAAACTATTAATCAAGTTATGAAAGCAATTTATTTGTATCATTAAGTGTTACAGATCCTTATGTTCTCAATGTATTCCTCAAAAGAATCTCAATATTTAATCGAAAAAACTATACCACTTATACTTTCTGCTCGTTATCTGACAATTTAAAAATAATTTTATCATAAACCAAAACCTTCACAGATTTTCTCAAAATAATTCTATATTCAATTGTGATCATCAATTTCTTTTTTTTCGAAAGACATAAAAATATCTTACTCGTTAAGAGTTTTCTTCAGCTCATCAAAGCTTTTTTCTTCATATTTCAAGTGAATAATTCTTTTCAATTCCATCGTGTTCTGACATTCCACAGGATCAAACATGACCGACTCCTTGATATTGTTGATATTAAATGGAATATTATTTTCACCTTCCATAGCTTCTTCCAATGATTCATAGGCTTCGTCGCACATCTCTTGAAATGAATTACCACTAACACCGCCCATTATATTCAACACATCTTCATAATAACCACCTTCACAAGAACCATCTTCCTGAAGAACATATATTAGAAGAATATGGTATTTGTCCTTTGTCAACGAGGTATTATTGATATCAAGATTAGTAATAGATGGCATGATGAATGTAAAAACAATACAAGCAAAAAATGACAGATAAATAAATAAATGAACATATTTATTCATATGTACGACGACCAATCAGCATAGTATCGTGTTTAAATCAATCAGAAAACAGCGCTAATACTTTATTTTTATTACACATGAAATAAACAAATTTCGTATGCTATCTTAACACAAATTTTTCAATAATTTCCCAGGCAAGCACAAAATAAGGGTGGACGCCCGACATGACTAGTCTCAAATGTCCGCACTACCGTCTGGTCTAGTCTGAAATGACTTGCAACCCGTCAGGACTAGTTGTCTTGACGCACAAAGTCTAGCAATTTAATATAGACTAGTCCGAAACATGCTCTCACCCTGCCATGACTAGTCCGTTTTGTATAACCATACTGTCCAGCCGCGTCAGTGTAATGATAAAACTCAGAAGAAAAGGAGAGCATAGGTGGATTCGAACATTCGATTCGACAATATTGAATATCTCACTAGTCCAGATTATTTTCAATAGCAATCCAGACTAATATGAAGAGCCATTTGTACTAGTCATGGCTGATTGTTTTTAAGGAACTAAAGCCAGTTCTGATTCAGAATAGTCTAAACTCCTTAGACAGTCTCTTTTGGTTACACTTAAGTATACGAGCAACTCATTTAGACTCGTTTATACGGAGACTAGAACGATGTATCCAGCGAGAGTTGTCTATTCTACGTACTTTAAATTTTCAGACTGTAATAATAATTAAGAATAGTTTTATTAGAACAATGAATTTTAGTATTTTTCTATGAGAATATTATTATATCTTAATATAAAATCTGATGATTTGAAGTGAAAAACATTTTTAACAAGGTCATCGGACAAAAAGTAGATAAGTGGTCGAAAATGCGGCGATTTCTTGATTTCATTTCTGTGATATTTCTCTTGAATATCTTGTAATAATTACTGAGGTGAATTAGGTTAGCAACGGATTGGTGGTATCAGAAAATATTAGACTACTAAGCTGTGCCAAAAAAGACTTTGGCTGCGCCAAAGTGCGCATCGAATATGCTTTGTCATAGTTACTTTAAAAAAGACTGTCGCGTAAAAGACACTTTGAAATTGAGAAATTTAATTTTTCAACACTGTGTACAGTAACCTACGCAGAATTTCTGGCAGATATTCATTCTAGAAGTTCTACCAATGGAGTGAACATTTGCTACTTAGAACTCTATGAGATCTATCGAATAATATGAACATTTTGATTTTCAATAGAAGAATCGACGAGTCGCTTAGAAGCCGAGTATCCAGCAGGAATCCTAGTCGTTTTCACATAATTGCAAATGGAACTGTCGAATAACAGTCTACCATTGTTGAAAAATTGGAATATTCGATATCTTTTCTCAATTGTGTTCCTTGCTGCTTCTATTTATTGTTATATTAGCCGTATAAAAGTTTATTAAAAATAAAAAACAAAGACAAACAAGATTCAGAGTGTCATCAGTAAAACTGTGAACACATTTTCCTTAGACACTGACAATTGATGATATACTTATATTTACTATTAGATAAGTCTTCTTATAGTAAATTTCGTATTTTTATGTATTATATATTGTATAGCTTTATTCATAGCAGAAGAGAAGATGTATATATGTTAAGTAGCGCCTCAATGAACTGAACATATGTTGATTGGGCAACGGTTGTCACCAAAGTATTACTCTGACCAACATTCTGATTCTCAGAATGCAACTTCTATTTCACTTATTCCAAATACAAGTTTGCTTTTAGAGAATGGGCCATTTTGCTTAGAAGAGTTGTGTGTCATCTAACTGTTATTTGCATGAAATATATCGATTTGAACTTCACGTGAAAATTTCTCAGCTTATACAAAGGAAAGAAGGATTAGATTAGTCAATTTATCCACCATCGCTCCTATACCTATATTTTTTAATTAGAGATCATTTATACTTCCAATGATTCCGTTTAAAAGTTATGCTCTATGCTTCTCTCCAACTTTTCTTGGAACAGTTTCACATAAGAATTTACCATAAAAACTGACGACAAGAGCTCATATTGAAAATCAAGAATTGATGGAAGATAAAGTGAAGAGACACAACAGTCACCGAAGAAAATTATAGTTTAGCCGGAAAAGTTCGCAAAGAAAACGAAAATTTCGTGGGAATGAGGAAGTAACCGGCAGCGAAAACGGAAATTTAGCGAGATGGCGATAGGTCAGCAGAGAAGACCAGAAACTGTCGGGAGACAGAAGATGACCAGTAGAGTAAATGGAAATTTCGCGTCAGTTGGGGAACGAATTGTGCTGAGATTTATTACTAGAATCTGGTCAAAAATCTAGTATATTGGCCGATCCCGCCCTCTTTTTTTGCAAGATAACCTGTGGTGAAATTGACATCATTCAATAGAGAATAAAATTCTTCATCCAGAACAACTAACTAGCAGGTCAGCACAGTTTTAAGAGCGAATATCAACAAGGGTTACCAGCAGAATGGGGTCAAAAACCTAGTATCTGGGCCCAAACCCTTATCTTTTGTCAGATGATCCCATTGAAAGTATCATTATTCAATAGAGAATTAAATTTTGCACCTAACACAACTAGCCAGAAGGCCAAGACAGATTTAAGAGCAAATATGAGCAAGAAATACTCGAATCCACTGCTAGCTTTCCATCGTCGTTCCAATACGAATAACGTATATTATGAACGTAAACGGCTGTCGTACACAACTACAGTATATGATCGCAAGTTAGCTGTGAGTTGAATTGCACTTATCGAGCATATAGCTTTTGTCTTTTGTATTCAGGAAAAAAAATCAATGATAAGTATTTATTTCAAATAAATATATTGTATTGTTTTTAATAATTAATAATAATAATGCCGTCTAGTATGATTTTACAGTGAAAGTGGGATTTTTGACCTTTTGTGTTATTAAGTATGGTTATCATCAGCACTAAAAACATCACTTGCGACCTTAAGTTTCTCTCATTGTTACTGCAGAATTAAATACTTGAAATGCAAAATCTAATTTAAAGACATTCATTTATACCTTAGTCAGGATTATGCTCATTGATACATGTTTATGTTTATGGATTAATTTTATTTATTGATACATTTGGATTAAAATCTAACTTCTTGTTGTTATAATTTGATTTCTATCTATAATTGTTTGTTTCGTAATAAATAGGAACTTAAAGTCCCAAGTGTTGTCTTTAGTGCTGATGATGACCGTACTTAATAATAGAAAAGGTCGAAAGTTCCATTTTTTTATCATAAAATCATATTAAACTGCATTATTATTAATTATTATAGAGCATTCTCAACTCTTTTCAATAAAAACTAGTTAATTTATTCAAAATTACTGAGCCAATGCAGCGTTGCTTAGACTATCCAAAAGAACAAAATTTTTCGAAACAGTAAATATATTGAAAAGGACTAATAACAGTTGTAAAAACTGAAGTTATTGATCAAATTTATAGAACTCTTTTAGATATTATTAAGTATGAAAATCCAATGTTTGCCTCTCAGACTTTAGTACAACGAAGTCAATCACGTTGAACATATATTTTTAAAAAGTTTTACTGATTTATCATAACAAAAAAAAATAACATCAGTATTTATTGTATTTCGCGAGTGCCTGGCTGAAAATCATCGACTTTATGATCTTTCAATTGCGGTGTAGCTTCATAGGTTGTAATGACTACTTTAAATTGAACTTCCTATTTTAAAAGAATTCAATCACATCGAATGATATTAAAACAAAACATTTCTTACACCAAGATATTCACCACAAAGACCAATATAATAAATACGAGTGGTTTCATTACCAAAATTCGAAGGAAAATATAAAGATAGATGTGTTACACGTGAGAAATGTGATGGACTAAAAACAAAAAATTGTCTTTGATAAAAGTCTTTCGAAGAATAAAGAATTTTACTTGACTTGATAAGCTAATGTACCGATAGATCGTATATAAGTGAAATTTCTTGATGAGCTGCACCATGTGCATTCTCAAATCATAGTTCAGGCAAATTACTCCATCTATTCATAAATATATAAAAATTATATTCCAACTTTATTGAAATAATTTATCCGCATCCAATTTAACTGTATTCGGATGTGACGAATCATTTTCACCAATGACACATAGACCAGTTATTTTAACAGCACCTGTTTAATGGTATACTGAAAAGTAATTCGGGATCATCATCAGTTGCAACTACCTTTTAGAAATATATTCATAGAATTTATTGAATAAATTCAATACAATATACTTTTTATCGATCAAGTCTTTCTTCCCATGCTCGAAATACAGTTTTATCTGATCCATCATGTTTTTCATTATAGCATCGTAAATTATATGTATCAATTTTTGTATACAAACTCCATTGACCAACATTTGTCTCATCCACATGTTGGTAAGTACGTGAAAATGAATATTGCATTGTTTGTCTGAAGAAAAACTAAAGATAAATAATTTCTTCTCTATCTGCTCTTTTATTTTACACTGAATGGTTTATTTTATATCATCAAGAATATAAACTCTACAATACACAAAAGAAAAAAAAATTCAATTTATGTTCGTCCTTTGTGTTTATTTTGATGTAATAACATACCATCATCATCTCTTCGTCGTTTCGTCATCGAATTTCTTGGATTATAAACAGTTAATAATTCTGTATTTGTATAAATATCTTGAACATTATCTAAAAGTTCTTCAGATACCAAACGATGTTTTAAAAAATGTATCTTGAACTGTATTAGCTATTTGCTCTAATTTTGTTTCATTCACAGGTGATAAGAATATTTTATCAACAAATATATATATATATATATATATGAGTAACCATGTAAACATGTAACAAACCCAAACTCAATTTCGAGTTTCGATACCAAAGTTTATAGAATTGAGCTCGACTCGAAGTCGAAAATAAAAACTAGATTGAGTTTGAACTGAAACATAAGAGCTCGATTCGAACTCGAACTTCAATGTTCGGGTTCGAGTTTATAGGTTTGAGTTCGAGTTGGGTTGTGAGTTATTATGTTCGAGTTCAAACTCAATCGACAGTCGAAATCGAGCCTAAACTTCGAGTCGAGCTCAAACGATTTGAGTTTGGTATATGTCTATAAACATGAGATTCTCTTGAATTCGAATGACTACTATAAGTTTTTTTATTACTTCATCTTGTATCTGCCATCAATGCATCCATTAACGCAGAAGTATCTGCAGTAAATGGCTGAATAGGTGGAGATGCAGTTAAATTAAAATATAAGAAATAAAATTATTCAACATAGTTATTACTTCTTTAGTACACAATTTATGTATTGCTAGAGTGGAATTACTTACATTCTGTTTCTTCTTGAACAGTATCTTCTGATGGTTTGACAAGTATTGATGATTTTTTCGATTGTTTTAATTCTTTTTTTTAATCGTTCAATTTCAAGTTTAACATTTTCATTTCTATAATAAAACATTAAAATCAATCAAATCATTTCTATTTTCCTATTTATGATTTTGATGATAAATATCCTGTTAATTATCATTATCATCATCTACATCAAGTGCAACTGATTTTTTAAGGTGGCTGACTGCACGAAGTGCGGATGTGGGTGTGGGTGTGTGGGTATGGATGTAAGTAAGAGTGTTTGACTTCGCTTTAGCCATACCAATTACCATACCCGTACCCACACCCACACCCAAAATTTCTATAATGCTTATACGAGTATTCACTGCCGAGATGTACATTTTCATTTCTAGTGCTACCGACATTGTATGGGCTCATATTGAAAATTTCTGTAATCTGCTGTCATATTATTATTTGAAAGAACGATCAAAACGAAAGACAATAAAAGCATTTTTCTTGAGTATAGTCAAGCAAATCGAAGTTATATTCGGGCGACATGACCTTTGAGAAGAAATGTGACATTAAATGGTTTCGTCGATCATACATGTAAAAGTTACTTGTAGAGAACGCTTGCTACACTAGATGTGTGGCTTTTTTTATTTTATATAAAATGCGTAGTTAGAGGTTCGTCAAACAAATATCGAAAATTCAATTTCTCATTTCATACGTTTCTGTCCTTTTCTTGTATCACTTGTTGGATCGTTTGTGTTTTAATCTTCACAGCCATCATGATTCTTTTTATTATCATCATCATCATAAACTCTTGTAAACCTTGCATAAAGCTTATTGTTTTGATATTCTTCCCATTGATTATTTCCCTTATCTAAAAAATATCCATTACGATGATGATAACGATAAGGTGCATCCCAGTAGCCATTCATATTTTGTGCAATTAAAAAGATTTCATTTGGTTTTTCAGCACTTGAACAATGGATATCACTACTATCTTTATAGAAATAAACGAACATATTTCTTGATGAATCAAAAATTTTAACACAAGATGGAATACGTCTATTAGACCTCGATTCAACTTTTAGTGTATCAATACATTTTAATTGAATTATTTTTGCATCATATATAATATCTTTAACAACATAGCCACTATATGGATAGAATAAAACTTCTTGTTCTTCTGGATAGATAGAATATTTTGAAATATCACTACGATATGTCCAATCATTTTTTGACGCATTGATCTCAAATATATAATTACCAAAATCATGCGCTACATCTCTATTTCTTGATGTACATGTAAATGTTGGCCATAAAAATTTTAAACCTACTTTATATTCATGTTTTACATGCTCAGGATCAAGAGATAATCCACGATAAACTTTAACAGGTTCATTTTCATTATTATTTTTAATTGCCATTCTTAAACTATTGATAAATCGTACATTGTTTTTCAATACTTGATAATCATCATTAAGCAGAGCTGTGTTAATCGTGTTGTAATATTCTCCATCTTCTTTAGTCCATTCTGAAAATACTTCTTGTTTTGGATCACATATACTATTTGTTGTGATTATTTCACGATAACATGGACGCCGAAATGTTGGTAAAAGAAAACGTGATGTTGTACAAGAAAATTTTTCGATATTACGCCTTGGTCTACTCATATTGGAATATTTTGTATTGTTTGTATAATGCAAGTGGTGATATTAAGATATATTTGTTAAAGTCAATCGTTTGATTTCAGACTTTCTAGTAACGAATTTTAAAAAAAAAGTAAAAGTAATTATTTGAACATAAGAAATCAATTCTCCTGATATATGGAACTATAAGTGTAAGCCGATGCATTAATCGGCGATGGGATTTATTCTGTTTTTTCTTTGTAAGCGACAATGACTATGAAAATCTTAGGTTTCAGCGACAGTGCTGAAAATTCTCAATGGCCTTTTTGAAGCTTTAAAAACTCTTTGATAAAAGTATAAAATATTCTTTTGATAGATGCATTTCAGGTTACTCCAAGTCATTCTGAGTGTGGGTATGAATATGGTTGGAATCAATAACCACATAGATAGAAACACTCACACCCTACTTAAATCTGATCTTTTAATTTAGATACCCTGGAACTGATCCAAATAAAAATAAATTTATTGCTGAAGATCAAATAGCACATTTATCAATCATTGCAGCTCAGATGATAATTCCCGATGTGTTAGAAACTGGCTACATGACTCGTGATTTGCATTTTCTTTGATAAATCCCTGAGTTAATCGTTTTACTCAAAATCTATTCACCCTCACTCGTTTCTTAGCATTATATATGTTTATAATTAATTAAATTATCTTTCTCTTAATTAATTTAAGTATTTGTTATGTGAGAAGGTTTTGGCTGAATTTATTTCTCTTATGTCAGCTCATCCATTCCATTCTTAGAAAAAAGAAAAAACAGACAGATACGTAAATAATAATTTCTTCACTTAATTTTAATCTCGAGATTATTGAACGGATAAAAGAGAAAGAAGAAATGATTAATTATTTAACAGGAAGAGAATTCAATAAGTTATAAGCATTCACATGAAATATGTAATAACTGTTAACAGGCACTTTCATGAGTACCATTCAAATCACTAAAAATGTTTGATTAGTCACTAAAAACGCGTTAAAACGTTGTAACATTTAATAAATTTGTGCATTTAAACATAAGAAAAACGTGGTAAAAAAATCAACAATCTTAAATTGTTGTTAACGCATTTTCGGCAACTAATGAAACATTTTTCACCATCTACATACTAAGATCTTTAAACGCTGTTTTGACCATTTTTGTATATGCTCGCATTGATTCCTCATAGGGCAGCATAGACTAGTTGTTTTGTGAAGTTAGCAGGGTCGGATAGACTCGTCAAGCGCTATCAGTTGATAGTAACAACAGGCAAAAAGATCCAATGCGTGATTTAAGTCAACAAACAAATAAAATAATTGGAAAGCAACTCACGAATAAAAGATAAAATTGAAGTCAATGATGAGATTCGCATCAAAGTCATTTAGTGAAACTGATATAAAAATAATCGAAATAATGAGGTTAATGTGATTCTTCAGAAAATAACCTATACATCGGACGAAAATGATAGAAAACTAACTTAAATGACAGAATGAATACAATGTTCTGAAGACATCATCGTTATCACATGACAATGGTGCGCAATCAATTCGAACCATTCAATGAAGTTGGTTTTTGTTTTTGGAGACTTCATCTTTATCAGATGACAGTCACGAAAAAATAACCGAATTGTTTATATTAATTTGATTTTTTGAAAATCGATTGTTTATGCTGATCATATTCAATGGAGGCTACCTTGAAAATATTCTCTGACGATTGACAACTTACATATGTCTCATTTGCATGTCATATCGTTTTGTTGTTTGCAGTTATTGTTGAATTTTTACAAAAACTTTATTTCTAATTGAAATAGAATGAAAATCAAATCTACTCACGTGCAAAATGAAATTGAAATGTATGAAATATGTTTGATGTTGATTCGCAGGTGGCTTTGTCGCGTATTTATCGTTAGCGAAATGCTTTGGCTTTTTCCTAAACAACGTTCGATGACGTGTATCAATGAAGCGTGATATTTTTCTAATGTAGGTAGCTCACATGAGCAAAATAGTTAAGTCAACACGTGTTCTATTCTTTTTCTCGATCGTATTTTTCATTCTTCACTTTCTGCGTCATTACAGTAACAAAATGTAATCGCTGTTTAAAGTTAGAAAAGCAGTTGATAATTACAACTTGAGTCATATTAAGAATGACTGAATAAAAACAATTCAGCTAAAACCAACTATGAAAATAAACGATCGTATGCCACTGGTGTACACAATGATTGTATACAGTCATATGCGATCGTATTCGCATGGCACATGACATTGCTGTGGTGAGTGACCAAGAAAACTCATTAAATATCTGCATCGGACGAAGAATATCAATTTTCAACGAAACAAGATCCTTTTGTTCTTTTTTCGAAAAATTCAGTGCGTGAAACAAATGGTGGGATCGTATTTAAGAAACACTCAAATATTCGCTCGAAACGCCGAATAACCAAACACGACAAGTACTCTCTTCGCCTTGAGACAGAAAAATCGATAAAAAAATGGCATTCCAAATGATGAAACGGACATTTCCATCAATACAGTTCGATGATTTCGATTAAAAAAAAATTTTGCATCTACTTCTTTAAAATGCAGCTTTTGATTAATGAATTTGAACTAGATGATTTGTTTTTTGTTGTATTTTTGGCATAAAACTAACGAAAGTCGTGACTCTTTTTTAGTTTTTAAATTGCTGTTCCAACGGAAAAGGGTATTTGAAAAATATGCTCTAACCCACTCCAACCGCTGTTTAACTCGAAGTTAGGGGTGTCGTATTAGCATTAAGTTAAAAATAATGCTAATACTTTTGCATTAGGGTGTGGGTGGGTGTGGGTGTGGGTGTGGGGTGTGGGTGGGTGTCGGGTGTGGGTGTGGGTGTGGGTGTGGGTGCGGGTGTGGGTGTGGGGTGGGTGTGGGTGTGGGTGGGTGCGGGTGTGGGTGTGTGGGTGTGGGGTGTGGGTGTGGCTGGGTGTGGGTGGGTGTGAGTGTGTGGGTGTGGGTGGGTGTGTGGGTGTGGGTGGGTCTGTGAGTGTGGGTGTGGGTAGGCCGGTGTGTGGCTGTGGTTGGGTCTGTGAGTGTGGGTGTGGGTAGGCCGGTGTGTGGGTGTGGATGTTGTTCTCCTCTTAAACCCACACGCACACCCACACACTCACACCCAGCCACACCCACACCCAAACCCGCACTTACACCCACACCCACCCATACCCACACCCAGAAAAAGTAACGAGTAATTGAATGTTGCTACAGGCACAAAAAACGATGCACTTTTTCCATCCGAAAGTTGATCAAACAAAAATTACCCATTGAAGTGTCAAACAGTCACTCTCTTCAAAAAAAAAGCTACCTATTGCTTTACGAGAACAGGAAGAAAGAAAAGCCTGTGATTGTGTGGGTGCGATTATGGGGTGTGTGATGTCAGTGTGGGTATGAGGGCAGGTGTGGGTGTGGGTATGGGTTTCAATGTGGGCTTGGGTATGGGTGTGGATGTGGGTGGGGTGGGTGTGGATGTGGGTGGATGTGGGTGCATGGGTGTGAGTGGGGTGGGTGTGGGTGTGGGTGCGTGGGTGTGGGTGGGGTGTGGGTGTGCGTGTGGATGGGTGTGGGTGTGGGAGGGTGTGGGTGTGGATGTGTGGGTGTGGGTGTGGGTGTGGGTGGGTGTGGGTGTGGGGTGTGTTAGCAGAGAAACTATGAACCCACACTCACATTCACACCCACACGCCCACGCATCGACACCCACACATCCACAGCCATACCCTAGTTTTCGAAACAAGCAAGGCCAGATTTCTTGATATGTTCCTGAATAGAAGGATGCAGAATTCATAATCGTAGACAGGCAAGATAAATGATGATTCGGAGGAGATGAACAAAATTTTTAAACAAAAGGCATATGAACATGCAAACCAGTATAAAAGACAGCAGTGCTATAGAAATGTGAAGCATTGAATACCCAAATCTGATCGCTGAATAGATAGTATTCATATCAGTTTTCCAAAAAAAAACACATTCATTTGTAG